CTTGAATGGCAAGAAATGTAGGGCTTAAAGTTCAGGCTGTCTTTGATACAGTGCTTCCTGCCTCCAAAACTAATGACAGGAGAAAACACTGTACTGCCTCTTACGGAAAACCTGGATCAGTACTGCCATCCAGTCTGCTGTTCAAGAGTTTAAACAATTGAGCCAAGAGTGACCTATTTGCACATGTGCATGGGGACCCACAAACCACATTCTAATTTGAACCCTACAAACAGAAAATCTTAACGCTATGTCAGTTGAAATACCAATTGATTTTGTGGGTTTTTCTCTGGAGAAGGTACATTTGCCCAGCTGGACCAACGGCAGACCGAGGTATTCAAGCTCTGCCAAGACTCCAGAAGCAGTCACATGCCTGGTAAAGGGTGGAGGTCACCAAAAACTTCCTTCTCATCTGCGTTCTTTCTTTTGGAAGGTGACCAGTACAATGCAGACAGGACTACAGGATCACTTCATCGCGTTTTTATTTGTCTCTGTTCAGCTTAAAAGCACTAACCCTGCAGCTAATCATCCCAGGGGAGAATTATAACCTACAGCAGTGTGGTAGGAGCAGCCTGATCTGGAACACGCTCCTGTCACTAATGTGACAGTCAGACGGATAAGAACTGTTTCTCAGGATAAAATATCTGGGAAACAGGCTGGTGAACAGCGGGTTATGGCCCTCCGCCAGTTCACATGCGAAGACAGCTTACAGACCTTGGGCTTCTGGGAAAGGGAAACAGATGTTTCAATTTGCACAGACAGTATCTCCCTATTTTTTATCCACCACAGTTCTTAATGAAACATTCACTATCCAGTGCACAGGCAAAGGGCCCCCAGCGAACACTTATGGCTTGAAACATGAATTTATATTAATGCATTACTGCCCATGTCTTCTTTTCCAGCAAATCAAAGTGAAAATGCTTTAAGCTGTAACTCCATGATCTGGAGAAGTGTTTCTCATTACACAATGAAAGCACCTACACTTAAAATACGGACACACATGTATTCATTCTCGGGCTGTATTACTTCTGGCGCTTGAAAACAATGATTCCATATATCTGTTTTAGTAAATCAGTAAAACTGTTTATCAAGTAATCAGTAATATTAGCATGAGATTAGTAGACATTGTAATTAAAACCTAACAGCTGTTTGAAGCCAAATTCCTCGCACAATAGATGTTCCCACCTACTGTCAGCATGGTTCCTGAATGAGGGGAAGGAAGGAGGAAGAAAAAAAAAAAAGAAAAAGGCAAATGTTTTATGGACCATTTGTAGCCTGTGGATTACAGGCAAAATAAACTTTATCTAGGCAACACAATGAGATTCTGGTATGTTCTCTTTGTTTTCCAAGCACAGAGTAACAATGAACAATCATTTAAAAAAAAAATAATAGCTTAGTTTCACAACTTCAGTGCTGTCGAATTCAGAGGCAAATAAATGCATATTATCTCCCTGTCTGTAACACTCGCGCTGGCCTAAATTTTATGTCATTTGGAGGGGAGGATAGATTGAAAGCTGGTAGCTCCATGACTGCTACTGTCCATGGAAAGTTTTCACCCCAGCAGATTTTTCACTGTGGAGCAGGATTCTTTCTCATTGCAGCATCACGGCTTCATATCTAAAATGCTTCATATTTATGTAACAGTATGATTTAGTACCTATTTAGATTGCAGTATGATGATTTCCTATCTAAACCAGGTCAACTTAAGGTTATGAAATTTCAGCTTTCTATTGCTATGGAGATTCTCCTACAACAAACACATTTTCTAGTTGCATCTCTGTTGTCTATTTTGCACTTCTCTATCTTCCAGCGTAAATCTAAATTTTCAATTTTAGAAAGATCAAGTTTTCTTTCCCAACAAAATCTTCTGTATACTCTGGACAAGAGAATCTGTCTGCTCTTCGACAACACTACAATTTTATTTGTAGCTCTGAATTATTCAACCATGACAGACAAAGCAGCTTTATTATATGATTCACTGCAGTTGGGATGGACACCAAGAATCAAAATGTGTATTCAAATGTACAAAACATCCCAGGGATACTCAGTATTGGTAATCAGCACTTTGATTACAGCATGCATGACTTTAACAAGCATTTTTTAAAGAATGGTTGGGTTTTCCTTTTGATGGGCTGCTAATTTTCAGAATTCTACAGGAAGCTCAAGCTGAGCAAGAAAAATTTCAGCTTTACCTGATTAGTTACCTTCAAAACAAATCAGGACTTCTGTCAATTCAGCAGAGAGAAACAAACATATAAACCCAAGAATTTATGTACAAAAATATTACAAATACAATGAAAATTGGCCAAATTAAACACAAAAAAGGATATAGTCATAGTGTGACAGGCACATTCATCTTAATACAGAGGAAGGAGGAATATTGCTTTACTGAGTTTATCCAACTTTGTATATTTCATCAAATACATTCTACAAATGATTTCAAGTGTGACTAATGACTTCAGCAGACTACAGCAAAAACATACTATCACATACATACTAATTTACTCCAACTTGTATGTATCGCATACAGCTATAAAGCTATAACTTGTCCTAAATTACTATAAAGGGAATATGGCCTCAGGCTACCCAACGATGCCTCGAGATGACAGATCCCCACAAACCAGTAAAATAAAACTGAAATAACAGAAACTCACTTCACAAAAAAGATTGTTTCTTGCTATTTATATAATCAAATTACTACTATTAAACCAGCCAGCTCCATGGCACAAATCACTCAAGGCACGCAAGCAAGATTTGGTATAAGAGGAAACCTTTATTTTGTTCCCTCAAAGGCCAAGGAAGCAAATGATCCTATTCCATGAACAGCAAAACCAGTAAAACCTGGTTTTCTATAGCTGTATATCTTGAGACTCAACTTATATGTAGATACTGTGGTGTTTAATAAAGGCTGCATCTTTCCTAGTAGAGGATGCATTAGCAATCTCTCCTGATGCAGAGCTTTTTTCACAGACATTAATAGAAAATTAGCATCTGAGATTTCTATCCATCTGTCAAAACTGATGGCAAATGACCCATGGGAAAAATAGGAGGGAAAGGCAGACAGACGATGTAATCACTTAAGGCCTTTTAACTTGGGAAAACAAGAAAGTCAGCTGAAAAGATTATGATTAGAAAGGTATTTTAACCAAAGCTACAAAGATTGTTATAATCCCCCCCCACCCCAGAATGCACAGGCAGGTAAAAACCCCACCTACTATGCTACAAAGCACTTCTAAGAAATAAACTTAAGAGTCTACCAAAATATCTCTCATTCTTAAAATTCCAAAGTGAGAGTGTTTGCAGACATTAGCTTGAAACCTCATTGGAAAAGTCACCACATCAATACTGAAGCGATTTGGGGGAAATGTTACAATTCACATGTAATGTAATATATGTGAGTAGTTGCCAAAAAATTAGCGCTCTCATTGACTGAGCCAGTCAATGAAGAAATAATGTTAATTTCAACAATCAGAAACAAGCATTTGGAATTTAGAGAAAAACAATAAAATTAGCATCGGATAAACAAAACTTAAATAAAAGCTTCCCAAAGCCTCTTAAACAGTTATATTAGAATTGTTTCACAATTAAAGAGGCCAATGAAAAGATGCTTTTATCTGGCACCTTCTGAAAAATCACACAGTAATTTCTTTAACTTTAATGACTATTCCTGAGTGCTTTTGTCATTTATTTTAGAGTTTCTTGAATCCTAATCTAAAAGAGAATCCTTTAATGGTTCTTAGACCTCTCCGGAAGACTTAACACACTTCCATTTCAGTTTCTTAATTTTATTATGTATCATTAATTACCTTACTTCTTTCCTCTTCTAAATGCGCATTTCAAAATGCAGAGGAAACAGACAATGAGCAAGAAGTAAATAATCCTCTTAAATAGTTTCCTTGATTTTTAGTTTCTCCAGCATATATTCTGATGTGCAAGTTTTCACAATGACTTTTTTTTTTTTTCTTAATTTAAGCATCCTGCATAAATTAATAGACTCACTTTAGTTCTCCCAAGTAAATGGCTGAACAGATAAAACCTGGGATTAACATACAAATTTAGGAATTTGAAGTCAAAACCCCCAAGGTCCAAGAAACTATATAAATAATTAATACAGCTAATTCACAAAGTTCTTGGAATCATATCAGCATTACATGCTTGGAGTCTTGGAATTCCAAGCATAAGGGAACGCCTCACAAATAAAAAATTTTTGGCACATACACCCTACTGTAACTTATCAGGATCTGTTTCCCCAATCCTGTATCTGACATCAGGCTTTGAATAAAGATTTAAAATCTTATGAACCATTCATATTGGTACATATGCTATGAAGCACCAACTAAAAATTTTACATTCTTCTGTAACAAAGGCATCATTCTAACTGTAACTTTTGTACACTCAAGAAACAGGGACGTGTTCTGTTTTTCTTCGCCAAGGGAAACGCCAACAAAGCAAGCACAAGGGTGGCTAGTATTCATAATGAGACTCATAAATAAAGGAAATTATGTGCACAGTTATTCATAAGGTACTTTTCCTCCTTTTGTTTACCATCCTGTAAAGTTCCGTTCATTAAAAAACAGGAAGAGAGGGAAAGACTGAAGCAGTCAGGACCATCACTGCTGCAGCATTAGTTTTACAAAGACTAGAAACAGTCTTAAGTAAAAAATGTCCAAACAGTGTATCTTCTTGAACATACTCAGTGAATTGTATAGAGTATGACAGAAAGATATTCAAATGCTACACTTAAATTCTTCCCGAAAATCCACATTTCAAAACATATTTAGGTTTTTAAAATTAACAGCTCATAAACAATGCGAGATAAGCATCTGGTTTCTGTGTGACAAATGGAGACAGAAATTTAAGTAATATTAAAATAATGCTCTCTGCACAAAACACATCAGAATGGTTACAGTTAATTTGAGAAGACAACCAGTTATAATGAACAATTAAAACAACCCCCAACTCTCCTGTCAATTTAAATGATCCTTATATGAAAAGTAAATTACCTCCATTGAGATTCGCCTGTGTATCCGGTTTCTGAGACAAACACCTGTGGGAGACTGAACTTCATCAGACGATGTTCCAGAAGCTTGGTCACTTTCACCATCTGACCCCATTTTCAGATTTTCATGAACAATATCTTAAAAATAATCCAAAGAATTGAAAACAGTTAATCAGTATTCCACCAAACATCTCTCTTGTACGCATGGAAAACAACTGAATCATTACAGTACGTTGGGTTATATGGCAGAGTCAAAGACTCATCACAGTTATGGTACTCGTGATATACTTTTTATGGCTCAGGAATCACAAAATGAACAGGATTATTTTATAGGACTTCTACACAAACTTTATCATTATTTTTCTTATTTGGTTTGCAGCAGATCTCAATTTTCCAAAACAAAAGACAAACAGTCCAATATCAATTTTAATTCCTATAAGCCACCTTCCCCCTCATGGCTTCAGTTCCCAAACTCCCTCGCTACCTCTTCTCTTTTAGCTGCTCTTGGATATAAAACATTATTGAGAATCTTTAACTTTTTAAAAAATCTGCCTACCTGATGTTAGGAACCTAAATGTATCTTCAGAAATCTTACAAAAACCTGAGGTATATGTGTTGTTTACAGAAATGCCACATATGGCAACTTTAGATTTAAATCCACTGCTGTGCATGCGTGGAGGAAGGGGATGTATTCTGACCATTCAAATAGAGGCCTACAACATCCAACGGGATTCAGCAGAGGACCTGATATTTAGGGAGCAATTAAGTGAAATCTGTGACCTTATGAAGGACTTTAGATAGCAGACTGCCTGAGTTACATGATGTTGCAGGATCTTCATGTCAACCAAAATTGGTACTTTTAACACAATCCTGCAGATTCATCCACACACAAGAGTTTATGTATATTATGTATATATATGTACGTCGCTTAAGCACCACAGGACCTTCCAGACTTTGGAAGACAAACCCCGTAATGAATGAAGAGAAGATCAAGGTGGTGTCATTAATAGCATAAAGAGCCAAATGGCTTGCAAAAGGACACACAATGAGAAATTGGCCAGGCAAACAATTCACTGTAAGTAATGCTCTATCATCATCTCTGAAATATTTGAACTCCAAATTACTATAGAGATTAAATAATTATACATATAAAGGAGGTGCTTCAGAAGACACCAATTTCCCTGTGCTCTCCTGATCCTTGACACTAAGTATTATCCTGTACAGGGTAAAAGAGAACCTGAGGGCTAACTAAGAAGCTCAGAACTCAACCATAAAAAATGCTAATATTAGCAAAACCCACAGAGTTCAATTCAATTCACCAACATACCTGAAAATATTTAACATCTGCACAGCATTACACCAGTAAGAAAAACCAAAAGAGAAAATGCAAGCTTTATCACTATCAACAAGCAAGGAAGCCGGATTTTCTAGGAAAAAAACCCCTTTAGGCCAATGTTTGGTTATCAGCACATCTTCTAAAATGTTTGCCTAGTTTGCCTCAAATAGAAGTCATGTAGACTTCAAAGGATCAAATTCTTCCTCAGTACAAAGAATTTCATTTTATAGAAAACAGAACGGATATAAAAAGATTAACTCATAAGGTACTGGCATCACATATTTTAACTTCAAGTGCTGTAATTAAACACACAAAGCATGCATCCCATGCACAAAGTAAATTTTCCAGCAGCAATGTGGATCTAAATTGGATTTCGATTAAAAAGCCACATTGCATCAGAATTTTCCCTGCAAGTCATGTTCAGATTTGGACTGAATAAGAAAAAAAAAAGCAGCACTCCTTGCATAATAAGGAGTTTCAAAGATGGTAAATACTCATCATTGCTTCTAAAGGTATGGTAGTTTGAACCAGAGAAAAAGGTTTTTGGAAAGTGGTCCCTAAAGATCGGCCTTAACCTTTAGCTAAGCAGAAAAAACGTAACTCTTTTTTGCCAGGTTTCTAAGAAATCTCTATTATTCTTTGTAGTGACTTCCTAGCTGTCTTTTTTAAAATCTTTAACAAATGTTAGGAAATTATTTTTTACTAATATAAGCATTAATGAAAACACTATTTGCAGCAAAGCTGTTATGCCAGCATTGTTGTATGTGGTAAACAGCACACTCACCGTATCAGTTCTTTAATAAAGATCCTCTTTTCAAAATACTTTTCTGAGAGGTCACGTAATCCATTTTAGCAAGGACAGGTCTCAAGATTCTGTTCGTACAATTAAGTGTAACAGCTATGGACAGTTGTTCCCCGATCTATTTACCCTCATGTTAGTATGAGCCTATTGATGGGGCCTCAAAGTCTGTTTTCTTTCGAGAAGCTAGCCAAGAGAGTTATCTGGGTAACCTCACAAAATAAGACTGACAAAATAAAAGAATTATTGTATGCTAAACCATAGAGCAATTACATCATTTCTTTTTTAAAAAGACTGACACTTACTAAATTAATAATGATTGATACTGTCATACTTTTTATCTTAAAGTACAATGTTCAATTCACAAAAGTGTTTGTATTATGAAATTACTACAAAAAAAATTACACTTCAACATGCAACACTTAGAACTACAAAGAGCATCCTTGTTGACAAAGATGATTCTTCTGTTAAGAAGACCACCTATGCACCTATACACAACTAAGGACTATTTCAAGAATCAGTAACACAAACCCATACATGTAGGGCAGATAGCGTAGCTGCAAGGAGATTCTGCTCTTTATAAATCAGGAATGCGAAGACAAAGCGGGTCTGTACCACGCCAGTCTAAAAATTCAGACTTAAATAAGACGACCGTCAGTCTATTGTGAATACTGCTGTGATATGATTAATTCTGGTTTGCAGATATTTTAATTATGTTCTAAATAGGGATACATTTATACTTTTTAAAAATATCTTGACTGGGTTATCATCTTATATAAATGTGTCCTTTTATTTTTATTCAATTAAAAAGGCATTAGTAGAGCCTTACGTTCATTATTTTAATAGTATAAACCCAGGAATAAGGTATTAACCTAGTCATTTAAATCATTTTACACAGGTGCATGACAATAGTATTTGATTAAACAGTGATGAAAATCATGCAAATATTTCCTTAATTTCAGTAAGCTTTTCTATAGGCCCGTTCACCTGCACCAAAGCCAGCTTACATGGTCTTCAGAGGTTTTAATAGTTCAATAATTTATTGACTTGCTTTCACTGAATACCCAAGCCGTTCTCTTGCACAGATGTTTATTTTAATGTACTCTACGTATCTAATTAAATATCCAATATGGCTATGTAATGAAAAGCTGTAGATGACTACAATATAACAGGAAAACTATGGAAGTACATTTAAGAGAAAAGACTGTTCTCATTTCAGCTGTGAGGAACGCACCACAGAAGAAATTCATACAGGGAACCTACAGTGCAGCAAATGAGAACTCCTCCAAGTGAGCTAAAAAAATACCCTCTGATTAGTCAATAGTGAGTCAGACTGCATGATCTTTCCATCTTATTTCAAATTATTACAAAAACAATCACGTGACTTGCATATTGGATAAAGGTGTGCTTTTGCAAAAGCTTGCTTTTCTGTGAAGTGGCTACATTTTACGATTAGTTTCACTAATAACGATTAAAATTGATGAAGGCCACAGTGAGAAATTGCCTTTGCTGTTAACATTACCAAACTATGAAAGCTGTCTGGAAACATCATTCCTTTCAATTCCAATATTCGCCATAAAGAAACAAAACTTCTCCATAACTATATCAACACAAGTGGCAAAGGCAGAGATAAACTCTCCCCTGTCTGCTACTGAGGTTCACGAGGAGGGTCAGCTTCAGTTGGCTTTGCACATTCCAAGCGCCTCTCTGGTGTTCCCAGTAATATAAATACGGAACAAGGACAACTAAGTTGGCTCTGCATTCAGCCAGATTAGATCCAAAAAGGGTTCATTAGCTCTGCTCCATCGTGGACTACAGCAGTTAAATGCTTCTGGAGGTGCGAGACTTTAGAAGCTGTGCAGATACACATGAGCTAAAACACCCTCAGCTAGACCTTCACTCACATCAGTGGCACGACTGACTCACAATTTGGCCCGAGAATCACCTATGTTATTTAAAATCATCACGATAATCGAATACTAAATTAAAAATTATTACAAAATTTTAAACAGCGGCACACCTTCTAGAGATCTCTTCAGAATTTTTGTCTTTACAAATCATTTTACATAACTTAAAGCTACCACAAGTGTTTCCAGGTAGAAATTATTTTAAAAATGCTTTGGGATTTTACACATTACCACAACAGCAGGAACTCATGTTCAGTGCTCAGAAAGCAAACAAAACTCCAAAACATCCCAGGCTTGACAACCAATTTTTAGATTGATGACCTCATTCAAAAGCAAGCAGTATGAAGATGCACCTGTGGCAGGTCTCAGATTAATATTTTTTATTAACCAAATAACCATCCTTTAACTGCCATCATTTTGTGATATTTCAATGATATCCCTCTGATAGCATTTTTCCACCATTGGAACAGACAAAAAATTGGAAAGAACAGAGGATGAATGAAGAAGGCAAAGAAAATAAGAAGTCTCATGTAGCGTGCACATCTGACCGTTTCATTTCTGAGGTCATTATCCCAAAGGAGAAAACCTCAGCATCCTGCTGAGTAATAACCATTCTCATATGGCAGGAACAAAAGGAAGAGAGATGTGAAGGAGGAGCAAAAAGAGCATTAGTAATGAGCTTGTATACGCTTATACTTGTGTTATCTACCAAGAGATAACATGTACAAATAGCTTAAATTTTCATCAAATGAGTTTAAAAAAAAAAATAAAAAAATATCATTAATGGCATCATTGCATCCAAAGCAAAAAGAGGTATTTAACACATACATGTAAACACTGAGTAAATCTATTCCATACAACTTCAACAAAATTAAAAATTCTACAGGAATCTGTAGCTTTTTAAAACATGTTATTATAACACTTCCTACAGACTAACATATTAAAATTGTGAGTACTATTTAAACACTTCATCACCTATAAAACTTGATCACCTGAGAAAAATAAAACTAACGGCATTCTTCTGCAATACTTATATATTAGTATTTTTTTCAGGTGAAAAAAAAAAGTTTTGGGAAAACTGGAAAATCACTAAAAGAAACCAAAAACTGTTTATGAATTTTCCTTTTGCGAAGCTGATTTGAAGTTCATAGTGAAATTTTGAAGAGGAATAAGTTATTGGTAAATTTACATTTAACAATTCTGATGTTTTTGAAGGCAACAGACAAGAGCAGCAGTACAGAAATACACACCTCTGCTGTTCCTGTACACAGTTTATATACATCTGATTTGACGAATAATCCGTAAATAACTAAATATTCCTAACCAGAGATTTCTTTAAGTACACAATTATGCATTATTTTAAACTTTGTATTCCTGTTAGCTTCTTGGCAACTTAAGCAAACTTGGCTAGGCAAAAAAGAAAAAAATAAAGTGTACAGGACTTCAGTGAAATCAGGAATTGATACAGTAGTCAAACTGTGCACACTAAAACCTGTTTTCTTCTGTGATAACAACGGTTGCTGAAGCCCATTCAAGAGGACAGAATTCTTTTTTAGTTTAAGTGGTTGCACAAACAGCAAAAAGGCAAGGTTTTGACCATGACGAGTGGTATTACAGTAGAGGAGGATATAAGTGGTTTGACTACTATCTTGAAGACTCATAGCTTAATCCTGAAGGAGATCAGTTTATCGCACACTTCTAAAAGAGGGCAGAAGATTGAAAAATTCATAAAATTCTAATTAAACTGTGACTTGCTCTCAATTTCTAGTATCAATTAATTAAGCATAATTTAAATTAACATAAAAGCAGGGCAAAACATTAATGGTGACTGGAGGCAGCAACATGACAAATTACTTGAAGGAGAAGAAAAAAAACGTTGTAACTTATTTGCCCCAGACAACCACAAATATAGCTCAGGACCACAACAAAATGACAATTATAGTTGAGCGGCCTTAATTTATCACCGAAAAAAGCAATTTTTTTTCTTATAATAATGAAACGTCTAAGTAATACAACAGTTCTTTTTAAATTCCACATAAAGGATGACTATCATCTGTTTTTATCATATCCAATTTATTGTATTTCTCACCAAAGCTTAACTGAGATGGACACACAGGTTTCTTGCAAAGTATTAAGAATACTTTGCAACTTTGCAATTTGTAAAAAATTCATGGGGGTGATTTCTGTGTTATTGTAATTGCTTTCTTCCTGAAAATCTTAGAGAGACATTCAGTACCTTAAAACCAAGTTTCTCTAACAACTCCAGAAGAAGATTACTGCATTCCCAGAGATTTATTAAAGCATTAGAGTAACCGTATCTCTTGCTAAGAATCAATACAGACATTATTCTTCATAGAAAAATGAACTTAAAACAAACAATGTAGTAAATTACCTAATCTGCTCCCATTTCTGGGCATTGCCATGAAAGAGCCGAGGCTGCCCCCTATGACGCTATGTGGTCTCCGTAAAGGGGGCTTCTTGAAAGATCCTGTGTATTGGTGGAGAAATGAGTGCATGCTGTGAGACGTTGGAGGCCTGCCATTCTTCACAATAGGCTCTACAATTCACAAGGATCAAAATATTCATTCCCACAAGCAAGTAGGAGAGTCAGGAACATGCCAGAAGAAAAAAAAAAAAGAAAAAAGAAAAAAAACAGTTACTAGACAGGAAATCACCACTTTGGTATGATTCTCTTTCATACCAACAGTAGACCATCATACTACTGCCATTTCTCTATTAACAAATTAATACAAAACACGGCATTAAGAATTACCCAAATTTCATTTTATTAAATTCTGTCACTCTGCTGCTGGATCAGTAAATGACCTGAATATACAGTCTAAAAATGCGAATAAAATGAGACGGTAGCTTTCAGTATCAGTTCAGTTATTTTCTTCTGTATTAATGATTATTAATTAATGATTATAGCACAATGTTTCATCTTTACTATAATTTAAACAGACCAGCTGTTAGATCAACTCAATGATGAGCAAATTCAACCACAAAACTTTGGAAATATTCTCCCTCTCAAAATTCTTGGGGGTCACTAGTAGCAAGGCCTCGCTACTTGAAGTCCTTATAAGCAAACATACCTGTCTATACCCACCAGAGCTGTCATGCCATAATAAAGGTTGTTAACTTAAAGGATATTAGAATAATTATGTATTCAATTAGTTATTTTGGCTTTCTATTGAATTGTGGCTCAAACAGTTAACTGCATTTAAAACCAGGACTAAGATTTGTAAAAAAAAATAAATATTACTGATAAACACTTTCTAAGAAAGATGAAATGTTAGAAATTTTAAAACCTTATCTACAAATGTATACAGAAATTAAGCGTTTGTGTTCTCTCAGCACCCCGACTCTGCACACATGGACTAGCACTCAAGGATTGCCGTGGTACTAGAAGCAGTCCAACTCTAAAAACACGGAGGATTTTTTTACCCCAACAAAAAGCAGAACAGATGTCAACTTGCATTGATTGTCATAAAACTGAACCGATCAGAACCACTGACAAAGCCATTCATACAAGAAATTAAAGAAGAAATACTCTCACTACAGAAAAAGTACCCAGAGGTCACAGCCACATACCAGCACTGTGCCTGTAACTAGGAAAAAGACCTGAAGATATGGCCAAACACTTCAGATTCAAGTAATTTTATTTTTCCGTCATTCAATTCTAATTACCATTACATATACGCGTTGTTTGGTATTATTCAGAAGACAGAAAATGCAGCAGCCGTGGATTGAGCAACCGCAGCGCGAGTGCTGCTGGATGGAGTGGCACCTCCCGAGGCATTTCTGGAGCCACTGCTCCCAGGGCGTAACGCAGCCGGGATCTGCTCCGAGCGTCACTCACGCCTACTGGGACAGGGAGCAATCTGGGCTGTTATTTCATCACCCCGACTTACATTGTCACATGCAGGAACCCCAAAACCTTGCTTTCCCCTCCAAAATAAGATAAGAAGAATAAGGTAGCTAGGAGAACTTATTTTACGGAAAGCGGAATTTCGATGGTAGAGGAAAGTAACAGTAACAACTTCCTAATAATCTAAGGAAAACAGGATCCTGAAGGGAACCCTGTCCCACCCCACATGTACAAAAACCTTCTGGATATATTATTATGATAGCAAAGAAGAGAAGCAGAACTGCCCAAGGACAGGCCAGTGACTTTAAAAAATAATTATGAAAGGAAATTTTGCATATTAAACATGAATAATACATGAAGACAAAAAGAAAATATCACTTTAACTCAGCTGCTGCAGGAAAAACAATATAAAAAGAATGCTTCAGGCAGAAAAAAGAATGTGGAAGGACTCATCAGCGCTGTTATGAACCTGCCTGCACCTTTCAATTAGCATCCTTCATAATCACAGCTTCAAAGTGGGTGAACATGAGGAAAAATACACCATACATCTGTGTATACGTTCGTGCAGGATGATGTGTCCTCACCTTCAAAACTCTGCCCACCTCTGTCCCAAATCCTTATTTCTGTTTCTAATACACTGCATCACTGCTTTTATCTTAGAGTGGTATCAGCTCCCTTGCTGTGTGCCTTCAACAGCAGATTTATCCTAGGGCAGCAGGCAGCAAATTCCTCATCAGTTTTTGCATAGAATCTATTGGTACTTCCACATGACAGGAAACAGGTTCACATACAGCACAACTACTGCTTTTGCTTTTTGCATATTCAAATCTGCTTTCTGCTTTCCAACTATCTTAGTAATCTTTGGTTTGAATTTGATCTAGTTTCTAGACTGAAAACCTTACACTGAATTTACACACAGTACTGAACAAATGAATGGTAACACTGAAAATCCAAATACCTGATGAGTACATAGTTTGTTTTGATGAGACAGTAATCATTGGTCATAACTATGATGCTTGGTGGGTTTTAGCGGCTAGTTTGCGTAATTTTAAAGTTATTACTTCTTTGTGTTCCTTATATAAGCAATAAATAAGACACATTAAGCATGTAACTTACTTCATTTTAATTGTTTCTAAAACTACATTCTTATGAAAAATGAGAGCGAACCCAAATAGATATTATCTTCAGGAAAACTCCAGGAAATAAAACTCTCCGCCCTTTGACAAAGCCCTGCTATACCAAGCAAAGCAGAAGCCCCTCAGTGTTTTGTTTTAAAGCCCTAATAATAAACCTAGGAAGAAAGTTCTCAGATTTTTTTTTTTTATTAGTATGGAAATGAGTGCTAAAAATCCCTCAGATATTTTTTAGCTCGGCCACTAGTGTCGACAGCCTTACACTTTGGAGGATAACTTAAACCCTGAGCAAAGTGCTGAGACAGACTAATGCTCGGTAAATGCATCTCCCATGGCAAGACCATTGTCTCACACACAAAAATGCAGATCATGTTATCAAAGTAAATATTAGTTCTCTCATCCTAATGAGAAACTGAAGGTGCCAGGATACATCTCAACAAAGGCTGGAGAATCACCAAAGGCAGGACAGGAAAGAAAAGAGACAGGGCCATACAGCTGAAAGCAAAACTCTGCCTTTGAGCGTGCCAGTACATGGCCTCAGCCATCTGCCCACCCACACCCACCTCTATACATCTGCGGTCGCTGAGGATTCCAGTACCACCAACCACACTGGCGTGTACCCGTACATGTGGCCTATAGCTGCACTCACAGAATTGAAATTTCCCTTGTACGTTGTGGGTTTTGTCGACTCATGCTAAAATTAATCTATCTCCAGGAACTGTGTAGTGCGTAAAAAAGGCCAGAGTTTATGAATACACTGAATGACTAAGTAGAGATTGAGTTTTATGTTCATTATTAACATGACAGTGTGATGAACACAGATGATTGTTTTAAAAATTTGGTTTTCTCACAGCACTGGTAGATTTGCATGTATTTTACAGTTTAAAACAAAGTTCCCAGAATACCCTAACATATGAAAAGCTCAGCTCAAATATAAGGATAAACACAGACCACATTAATAAGAAAAAAGCAAATTTATATAAAAATGAAAGACAAATGGTTGACATAATAAGATCCAATTATACAGAAATAACTTTTGCCATCATGGGCAACTATTACCTTCATGCACTGTCGTAAGTACTGTTCTACATTATGGAGCCCATTATAAAATTTAGCAACAATAATTTAGGTCATGTAGTAGGACAGGCATAACTACCGACAGACAATGAAATGAAGGTTACAAAAACTCTCAGATTAATAGTATACTTCTGACTAAGAAAAGTATTAATAGTTCTTACTTGCAAATGTTTTTTAAAATCCTAGTACATACTAATTTACAGAAATGAAGGATCAAATGGCATTTTATTATGGTATAACATAGACTTACGGTCTGGAAAAGTATTTTTGTTATATACAGTAAAGTTTGCATTGTCATATGCTAGGAACTTTTAAAGAAACGTTCACATGAATTCTGCATTGTGTGCTGCCGCCTCCCTGCAAACGTAACAATAATAGCTGAGAGCTGAAACAAATACTGAAAATGATCGAGCAAACTCTAGCTAGAAATTAATTTACTAGACTGTTTATTATCATTTTTGTGCATTTATAAGAGACAAGATTTAAAGAAAATGCTTTTGAAAAAGGTATTTAACTCCCTCTGTCTGAAGATCCCCAAGTACTTCTTCCAAAGTTACAATTGCATTTAATTCATTTAAAGAATTCTTTTTTTTTTTCAGGGTTATTAATATGTTGAATCACTACATTTAAAGGGTAATGCTGCAGTTTTTAAGGTGTAAATTTAGGGCAACTGCTTGATCTTGAATAAGATGAGTCAAAACCGTAAAAGTTAAATGCCTTTACTACATACAGCTGCTATAAGCTACTACTTATAATTTTATCTCTGTGATTATAGGTTTAATTTATCTTTAAAAAAACCTGCTTCCCTATATAAAAATCTCAAACATTCCTTACATTCGCGTCACTGTACTTGGTAAATATAACTCAGTAACCACTCAAAGGCTTAGCTGACATGATGGAGGTGTTTCGGGTAGCGCAGTAGGTATTTTCATGGTGCTATTGGTTTAATATTAAGCCACAGCCAAAATGAACGCTAGAATTTAAGAGGGGAGTAGAAAACCACCAGAAAATCACCATGCCACTATGCAAAAGTGTATGGATCGACTGCATTTTGAGTATCATGCACAGTTCCGGTCTATCTCTCTCAAACAGATTAAAACTGTAGAAGTATGACACAACCCACCGACTTGTAGGAGGGCTGAGGAGGGCACCAAGGAATCAGCTGCATCCAGCAGCTCCTCCAGCACAAGAGTGAGAATCACTGAAAAAAGCCAGCCGCGGCAGGTTGCATCCAGCACACAGCAGTGGCTCTTCACACCGTGCAGTCTGTGGAAACTCCTCACCACAAGATGTTACGACTATCAGAAGCTTACGAGACTCAAGGGGAGACCGAACGAGAAATCCGCTCAGGGTTACTAACTGCACAGAGACTTGCCTCGTTCAGGAAGTCTCTGAACTAGAAACCGGCACACTACTCTGGGGAAATGGTGTTCTATTTTGGGCCCTAATCTTAGACTTGCCCTCAAATGTCATCCTCAGAGAGTGGAGAACAGACAGGCTGAACTTCAGCCCTCCCTTATGGCGCAAGACTTCTGCAGCACCTGGGCAGCTTGCTCGCAGTGGCTCATGCTGGCATCCCCATGCCAGCGAGGGCTTTATTCGTTATTTATCTCTAGCTCTCTTTCCTCACTCTCCTCTATAAACTGTAGTTCCAATCTGATAAACCTTATAAATATGGAAAGTGAGCTGAAAGAGAGACTTCTCAGTGGTTCTTTTAAAATTGTGTTTGGTCAGTTGTTACTACGTTCTCTTCTTATTTTGGCTACCAAATCACTTAATCTTTGACTCATCTTTCAAGGAATGTCATTTCAGTTCTTACATTTCTTATGCAACCTACTAAGCTATCATGCAAATCTAGTCTTTAAATGTGAAAAAAAGTTAACTCAAACATTCTGAACAAGACTATTTATAAATACTATACTGGCGTACAGGATGCACACATGGTTTTCTTTTCAATGCCCCTGAACACTTCTTGAAATATAAATGTCCTGCTTCTCTTTAATTTTATATATATACACACACATATATAGACACAGACACTTTTTTTTTAATGCCATATCCATGTTATCTTCCTTAAGTGTGCATCTTCACACATGTTTAAAATTGGGCAACGCATGGTGACTGTGCACTGTTCTATTACTTGATTTTCAAGTTTGGCGAACGCTGAGCTGCCGGTTTATTTCATTTGGATTGTTTTCCTGTATTTCTTGCATGCTATCGTTCAAACTTCCGTTATTATTGGCTTAATGCAAAATAACTACAACAGCACTATTCAAAGAAAATACTGTTTAAAATACAACCAGCCTGGCTTACTAATGTTGTAAGAGTTGCTAGACCATGTTGCTGATCTGTTTTAGAATACACACATATATTTTAAGAAAATACAGTCCCCAGTAAGGTACCGTTGCTCTGCTAAGTTTGAAATAATGCCAACGCCAATGCTAACAAACATACAATAACAGAATAACTCAAATGAGCTGCTGAAATCTTTCAATTGTAAAGTGACAGAAATTTATGCGTGAACATAAGTGAAACTGATTTTTTTATTTCATAATTATGAGAACTGTCAGAGTCAAGTAGAACAATAGTGTATATAACCGAGAAGCTTGTCTGAGGAATTAGTTAAAATCAACTATTTTATGAGGTTATAAAGATGTCTCCTCTTTCTCCTTTAACTGCAATTTAAATTAACCACAAACCCTGACCTGAAATTACTCTCAAATTAAGCAATTTTTCAATAAATCCCCAATGTTTCTTTTCCTTGCCCATCTATCTTAACAAAGAGCCACACTACTGCTTTCTTTCCCGTGCTGGATTTACTTAACTGGATTTACTTAATCTGAGCTCCAGAGAGCCTGCAGAATTGCCTGGCATTTCTATGCAAGGCCTCAGCAACTGACATACTGTCACACGTCAGTCAGCTGGATAGGAATATAAATGCATTTTTAAAAACATTTTATGCATATATAATACCACATATTCAACTAACTCTTTTTCTTTTTTTATGTCCCATGTGTATCTCTATTATGTGACAAAAAGACCAAGATGGCTTTCAGATTTCACTACCTAAATTTTGGAATGATACTGGCTTCAGCTAGCTTTAATAAAGAATCAAGATCAGCTGTCATACATGGTGACATTTTCCCTTAAATCAAGTGTCTCTGACAGAGCTGAATAAGTCTGCAAGACAATGTATTATTCAGTAACCACTATCCATTCTGGACATGAAAACCATATAAATACATAAATATATATTTTAATTTCATACAAATCAAGTGTACATAAGAGGAGTTTTTTCTAATCAAAATAAGACAGGTATTGGAGAAATAGCATCTATAATCTCTGAGTGGCATATATAATGGGGATTGAACCCAGGCATGCTCCGTATTGTAAGCAAGGATGAACTTTCATGCGATAGCAAGCCTGCCACAATTCACTGCTGCTGCCAAAAAGGTGGCTCAAGGTCCTTCCCCAGCAGAAGTGTAATTTTGATTTAGGTTTTTAAACTAGATCACCACAGGGCACACAGAGTGCAGGTGCTGACAGAAGGTGGAAGCAGAACCTCACTCGCCACTTTTAGCTGCAGCTTGACTTCGGACCGGCTCAACTATAACAAAGTATCACTGAACACCCTGAGAATCAGCTATTGGTTTTTATAGGACAGGACTCCACGCAGTTTCTTTTCCACCCACCTTGACCTCACCCTTGCTCCAGAAAACTTCCAAGGTTGGTATTTTTTTTTCTTTTCCAGTTCGATAAGAGAATGAGGAAGTGTCAAGACTACACGTGTGAAACTAAATGTTCATTCTCCACGCAGCCTTGCATTCACGAAGCTTGCAATGCATCATGATAACCTTTTAAAATTACTTACAGCACTGCCTGAAATGCTACTGTCGTAGAGCTTAATCATATTTTGGCACCATCTACTACACACATTCATTTAACTAATCTGAATGTACGCTCTATTAATGATTACTCAATTTTTACAGGTCTATTGGCAATAAAGACTGATTTTTTTTGGACAAAATATTTTGAACAAACTGCTTTCCTGAAGGAGCTGTTGTCAAGAAGCCCTTTATTTCTACAGAAATCGTAGAATGTAAGCAGGTGAATTTCTGACATCTCAGAGCTGGTATACTGCACTGTACAATATTTAATTACACTGCTGTAAGGCTGTCAGACCCACTCAGCAAAATTAGTTGATTGTTTTACAGGTCTATTGGCAATAAAGACTCAGCAAAATTAGTTGATTACAGATGATGGCTCCCATAGAAGAAATATTTAAATAACCCAAAGCAGCTTTACTTGTCCTGTATCTGTAATCTCAGGGAGCTGCATCAGGAGCACTGTATAACATACTGTATATTTATACATTGTTTTATGGTGTTGTTTCCTTGGACTCCATTATGTGATAGCCAGGAAAACATTAAGTCACTCTAAAAATAGAGCAACCACTCAATACCACTTACAACTGTATTTATTCATTAAATAATACGATAAAACCTTCAAACTACTGACTATTACAATATTAAAAACTTAGCAGAACCTCAAGGGATTCCTCCCATTGCTCACAATTAATCCATTTGAGTATTGTAGTCATGTGCAGAGCAAACGTTCTTCACTTGGAAGACAGAGAGCAAAAAGTATCTGTAGCACATTTGAAAAAATATGCCGATGGAAACCTAAAGAAACACTGTCTTCAAGTTTCTCCCAGAAATGAAGTACCTCAATGATTAAAACGGCACTGTAACATTCTTTAAACTTTTTTTTTTTTTAATTTGGGACAAAAAGGACAAATTTTTCCAAGGAGCCTGTTTAAACTACAAAAACAGGACATAATATACAGGCAAAAAAAAAAAAAGAGATCAAGACACATAAAACACTGCAAAAAGCCTTTCAAAGTTGACTTCACATACAATGAGGTTTTGCCTTCAGTCTAGGTACCAAGACAAAGAAGATCACAATCAAATGAAATATATTCAAAGCCAAAAACCTGCCTTTGGGATTTATGCATTCCATACTGTTTGAAAGATAATTCTCAAGATAGTACTTTTGGTCATCAACGCGTATTGGAACATAAGCATGGCAGTCCCGTACCTCCAGTCATGTAGGTATGACACACCACCACCAGTTACTGAACTTCCCTTTAAAAAGCGTAACTCCAGAAGGCATCGCACTACACCAAATCCTTGAGAACACTGTTTCAGGTACAATTTAAATCAATGCAAGTCAGCATCACAGCCAAGATACGAGTATCCCTGGCCTCCATCCTTGCATCCCCACGCACAACCACCCTGTAGCTTCCAACACAAATATCTGTGAGGCCACACTGCCAACCAAATCACGAAACAGAAGATATGGCTCCTTTCTGCCCTACTTTCAGAAATAACTGTGGTGGCTAGTTACATGTATTTTACTTTTCTGTACTTAAGTCCATCTGAATGCCATTTGAGAATAAATCTCTACATATCCATCAGTGAGTCTACACCAGCAGAAATCTGGTGTGTTTACAGAGTCCACTTCTGCATCTAAGCATCCTGCTCTCCTGCCAAACCCATGTTCGCTTGTGAAGGAAAACACTTATGGATGGACAAGCCCTATCCCCCCCCCCCAAGACTACGGGTCTCTGCAGCATGCTTTCAGGCACTGAATGTTCACGCTCATTTCACTTTATAAGCACTTCCACACATGAATAGAGCCTCCAGGTTTTGTGGGAAGAAGCAAATTAAAACAGAAGGGAAGAAAGAACACTATGTTGTGCAGCGTATGTGGGATGGAAAAACCATACTGAACAGTAATAACAAAAACTGATGTATGCCACAGCACAGAAGGGTACATACAGACTATAATAAAAACATCGTCAGTACGGTGTAAGGGACAGTACAAGGTTCAAGATTTAGCTGTGACGACTGCCAGTTATTTGCAGTAATCTGTAGCTCTAGAATGAGCTCTAGCGCTTCTGGGGATTTCTCCCCCCCACCTCCCCCAATATTTTTATATTGATACTTTCCTCCAGTATCAACAGAGGAATTTTATTGATTTATTATCACTAAGTATTTCTGTGCTCATATTTTCAATTCAAGAACATTGTCTTGAAAATATGTTGCAACACACTGTTTTCCTTCCATACTCAAGGAATCACACATAGCAGATGGAATGGGAGTTTCTCAGCTGTACTGAAGACGATATGAAATGACTACAACTACAAAGACATTTGGATGTTCTGAGACAGTATTGCAATGTGTCAGTTTTTATAAACATTCATTCTTCTTATCAGAGTATTAACTAGTCATTAAGGCCTTAAACCTAAAAAACACTTACGCACTTTACTGTAGCTGATCCTTCCATTATTACTCACACCTGTAAAATTACAAAAAAATTATGCAAGTGTTTGTGAGACTGGATCCTATGATCACATCACTGAGCTAAAACAGACGAAATGGAGATAAATACTATTCTAGAAATTCATGAAGCCATTTCTAACAAAACTTCACTTGTTTTGGTTTGGTATGCACATGTGTATATATCCATATTTAAAAATAAAAACTGGCAATACAGAATGGCTTTCCAAGTTACTTATATATTAATGCAAGAGCTGTGGACATATTTTTGAACATATCTTGTAATTATTCTTAAGAGCATGCTTGGAGTTTGTGATAACATTTTATAATATTAGACAATACGGCTACATTTTTCGCTTTCATTAGAGAGCATATTCTTATGTATTTAAAGTATTTGCATAAATTTTACAGTTAATTGGGCTTTAAATATGCATGAATTGGATGTTACTTCTAGCCAATTTTCATTAGTGTGTCATTGGCAAGGAAAAATTTCAGCAGCAAATTTAGTTGTCAACTGCTACAAATTACCATTTAGTATTTTTAATATTAATCTGAATACATATATTAAGGTAGAACCTAGAATTAAAGAAGCAAGCTGGCACATTGTTAGTGTGCTTGAATCAAGACAGAATGAAAAATAAACAACAAATCCAACTAATTGGTTTTATAAGTTGAAACACTAGAGACCATGAAAAGCTTCTGTACTTAAGACAAAAGAATAGCCCAAAATATACTTCATACAGTCCACAGTTCATAAGGCTTCAGATGTATATTACGCATTTCACTGGTCCCTCTACTTTTATGGTTTATGCATTTGATTTGGTGATGCTTCCTCACCCAGAAACCAATCATGATGAACATAATTTGTAAGGCATATTTAAGTATACATAGGTTTCTGGTCGCTAAATAATTTGGTGGTGTTCCAAAAAAAAACCAACAAAAAACCAACAACCAAAACTCTGTGCTACTGCATCGAACAATATGGGTTGATCCCTGCTAATCCCATTTTGCTGCTGATGGATGAGTGCTGCATACCGAGATTCACGCAATGAAGGAGGCTGTGTATGAAATGAGATTGCATACAAAAGGTTAGCTGATTCAGTGGTATCAATGCACTGCAAAGAAATCAAAAGATATCTATCTATTTTTATGTCTGAACTACAAACGGGACAATTTGTTCTGCATTAGGAGCACCGTTCTTTAAAAGTAAATCTTCAAACAACCCACTCAAAGCTGGAGCTAATCACAAGGTGGGTCTCTGGATTGGAGCAGCAGTTATTTGAAATCAGAGGCAGTTGTTCTGGGAGAGGAAACATTTGGCAGGGGGCTGAACAAGACAGGTTATTGCAAAAGGGTGACCATGAGGAAAGGTCCTTGGTACTATGTGCACGCGATCTACATCTGGAATCGCAGTGCTTTATAATAAAGATTTTACAGGACATGTATGTGAAAATCAGGTAGAGATGAGCACGGATCTTAGGTCAGCACAGATGTGGTTTTCTATGGACGTAGCCTCTACAACCTCTACGCTCCAGTAACACAGCCGGTTTCCAGCAAGGAAAAAACCTAGTGTGTATAAAATTATATCCTTCAGTGAACACAACCATCAGAATGGAATGACAGGGACAAGACGGGTGACTTGCTAGGAAGAAAAAAATAAAACAAACCCAAATTGGACAACAACAATGGAAGAAAATTCTACTGTGAAGTCCTTCAGTGTTCAGGGTCTACCCTTGCCTTCTGGCATGAGAACAGTTGCAATGCCCTTCAACTCTCATTTCTCAAGTTCATGATGTAATAGCATTTGAAAATAAACCACATATGAAGAACCACTTTCTGAAGACTGTTTGTATCCCTGACTTTGATTCTTTGTAGATCAAGATATTGGCTTTGATTTACTAGACTGTGCTTTTTAAGTTCTTTTAAGAACAGATCCAAAGCCTGCAAACTGGGCACATTTGTGCTTCTCTGTTCCACAGGGTAAAAAAAGCTGTTTATTCTTCTTAAAAGCGGAACTAGGGAGACGGTTACTCCTGCCTTCCGAGATCAGCACCATCGCAATAAAAGATGCACTTTCAAGATCTTAATGCCGCTATCACTTTATAAACTATTCAAGAGACTACACCCTCTCATGTGTCCCAGCTGGATATTTTCAGTTAGTACAGGCTTCTTAACACTCTGATTTTATAAGACGCCAAGGCAAATCTTTCTCATTTAAGCACTCCTCTGTAAGTAAATTTTACAAATAATGTCCACTGAAGGATTTTTTTTCCCAGCTATGTTCTCTACCAAACTTCTCTTTCACCAAAAAAGAGAACTCATTTCCTGACTCTTTTTTCCAGCAATTGTTGTTGCCCAAACCCCGATTCCTACAGTCTGTCTGAAAACTACTCCTTCCAAAATATCTTGATCTGTGGGAAAGTTAGAGCTTCCTTTAGAAAAGCAGGACTAGCTGGTGTAGCAAGCATTTTCCAACCCTACTTTTTAAGAAAAGTAGGGTTGGAAAGGAAAGGAAAAACAAAGGAGAACAAAAATCCACAAAGTAGTATCCTGTTCATCTCTGCAAGATCAAAGATAGGACAGATACTAACATCTGCATTCTAGAAGTATCAGAAAAAGGAAGCAAATGTCAGTAAACCTTTTTTAAATGGCATAAAATTATGAGGTAAAGAGTACGTATAGCAAAAGTACAGTTAATATTTACTGTTCTTCCTCTTTCAAGAGGATCAAGACCTCAGGGTATCCAAAGATACTCTGCTAAGGCACTAATAACATTTTGCAGTTGTAAGCATAGCTTGTATTGTATCACACAATATTAGCACATAAGCTTCCTTTTGGCCAATGAAATAACATCGAAAGCAAAACAAAAGGCTCACTAAAAGCTAAATAACAAATTTGTCATTAGAAACATTTTCTTGAATTGTATTTTTATCATTTTAAATATCTACTGAGAAGTTAAATTTGTCAAAGTCTAGCAACTAGCATGCAGAAGACATCTAAGCATTGCTGTTTGAGAGAATTCTCAGATAAATATTACAAACTGCTAACAGATTCATACATGATTTAAGATGGTATAAGCTCATGCTTCTGTAAACAAGTTATTGTGTCCCCTGCCCCTTGAGCTGGCACCCAGAGCATGGTCCAGTTTAAAGTAAAATCTTTTTCTTCTTCCAGTTTTTAACTGAATCAATTCAGCAACCCACTTCACTACATTCACCGATGCTGGTGACGATTTTTCACACTCATTTCGCAGCATGAAAGTAATATTCTTAACACCTATTCACATAATGAGATCAGTCAGAAGCATATACAGGTCTGAACAAATATGCATCATCACAAGGGCTAATGCAAATGAAACCACGTGGGACAACTGTTCAGTGTCTCAGAAAGTACTTAATACATACCAGTACAAAAAAATATTTTTTTGGTAAAAAACCAAAATTATTGTTTCAGATTGGACCTGTTGTATCAACACATAAAAAGCTGTAATAAACATTATTTTCCAACCTATTGGGCATAGCCCATGATGAAGACAGGACAATAGCAATGAATATACCAGGGATTAAGGGTAAAAATGAAAAACATGAATAGCTTTGTTTTGCCAAAGGTAAATTCAGCTTTCAAAAGCTTGGTATGCAACTGACCTTGGATGGGGTTTTAAAAGTCTGCAGGGCAAATTCCACGGCCTCTAATTCTGCTCAAATTTGCCAGCCCTGTCAGTTTTCAGTGGGAAAATTTAGATTTATTTATTGGAGTGAAGTGTGGAAAAAAACTTCTGATCATTTGATACTTAAGAAACTCTTAGATGTCAGCAGAGCAAGAAATAACACTAATCAGCACAGATGAAATATGACTTAAATGCTGCAGCCCAGGAAACAGAACAAAGCAACAAAATCTCTTCCAGTCATTATTACTGCAGATTGCATTCAAAAGCAAGGTCATCATTAATGTGGATTTTACAGCAGCCAGTACATTTATGGGATCAGCCAAAAGACTTGCATAAGAACAGGCAAGCTGGTCATCCTGAATGTTTCTAGTTGCCTTCACATTGCTGAAGAGAAGAACTATTCAGAGACATGAAGAGGTGACAGAATTCTCAGACTAGTGCGCTGCATCACCAATGATAAGGTAAACAGGTTTTTTTATAATACTTAAGCAATTACTATCAATCATATTACCAAATAATGATTTTGAGAAAAAAATATTAATTTGAAGCCATATGAAGTTGATGTGAGACGCACTCAATTCATACAATTACGAGTTTGTTTACTGAAAGAGCATCTATGATCCTTGCTGCACACCACATTAAAATATTGATTTTAATTTAAGCGGTATAATAGTTCATTATCAAAGGAAAGCAAACCAATATGTACTAACATATCAACCTGTTACAAGAACTAAGGCAGTCACATGTAAGGTAAATCAAAGGAAAAGGTTAGTGAGGAAGTTCATGCAATTGTGAAAACTCAAATAAAACCCAACAACACTCACTTTAGGGGAGCCTGACAAAATTCTTACATTTTCTGGAAAGTGAAAGATATGCTTACCATTATCTTTGCTGCTGTTTTCTTCAATTGTCATTTGTTCTGCTAGCTCAGACAGCGATTCATCAATGGTCTGGCTTCCACGCAAGGTTAAGGAAAGTCTCCTCTTAAACTTTTTCATTCTATCAATATTAAGTCTGGCTTAAGGAAGCCTGAAAAAAAAAAGATTAAAAAGTAAAAAGTGAGAAAAAATTAGTTCATCAGAAAACAAAATTTAATTACCTCACATAAAAATGCAGGACGGCTTACAGAAAATCTAATCAATATGCAAGTTATCCTTAAAATGCTATCCTTAAAGCAGGATTACTCTACTGGACTGAAGAGTATCTTGAGAGGTAGGTGTCCATACGTTTTTTCATTTTTTATTTCTGTTAGGGAAAACAAGAATTTTTGTTTTTTAAGAAAACAAAACAAAAAAGCTCATTTGATCACTAATTCTACAATCCAATAATAAAACAAACGGTCATCTGAAAACTTGATGAGTGTGCCCTCTGTTGCCTCCTCTGCAGCCTTTTTCACCAAACCCACCGAGGAGTAGGCTGGAACCTTCTCTCTCTTTCAGCCCGTTTGTTTATGGATGAGAAGTTACTGAACTTCTCTATATTTTCCCCTTTTCACAAAAGGAGGAAGGGGACTACACTAGAAGTCTTAACACAAAAGCAATTCTCAAACCTGATCCCACCTAGGGAAATAAATAGCCAGAGCCTGATAACAACAGCTAGAATGGACATTTCTCTACCGTCAGGCAACAAAACTAAACTGTGAACAAAGCAGGAGGCACTTTCTCCGTGGAAAGCAGAAAGCAAACATGCAATAATAACTGAGGTCCAGGCCAACAAACATGTTGCCACAAGTCTAAGCTACTAAGTGAACTTTGCAGCGTGCCATATGTTTGCCCTTACAGGACAAGCAGCGCAACTCTGTTCTGCGTTACTCCATATGGACAATTCACCCTAAATATCATTTCACAATAACTTGTTTATCTGCTCATAGCCTCCAAGAATCACACAGGCAGTGTCAAGCACACTATACTTTCAAGTCTGAACTGCTCGTATGGTTTTTTTCTGCAGCAGCCTCTTTGCAATCCAAAACGTGTAATTCACATACAAAATAGAAAAGATGAAATTTTCCTTGTTCTCCTTCGAACAGAGAAATGCAAGAAGTAGTGCACTATAGATATACATTTAATAATTGTGAACACGATTACTTATATATTGACATTGTCCCTTTAAGTATACACATTTCAACTGTGAAGCTAACTCTCTGTTTAGATGCTACATAATAAAAAGAAAAAAATAATCAGTGGAACAAGTTGGAAGTGGTTCTTGGTGGTAGGAGAATGCATACATAGACTAAACCATCACAAGACTAGATCACACAGGACAGTAAGTAACACATAAGGATGGATAAAAGACGACCTTTGGGATTTGAGCCCCAAAGTCTGAGATGAACAGTGCAATCACTGACAAAGCAGCAGCTGCATCCAAGTGGAAAGAAGTAAATTACAAAAGAGCGTAACATCGTAGACAACCACAGCTGCTATAGGCAGAAACAGTCAGGCACTGGGTACAGATATGTAGGAAATAAAACTATAACTGCTGGAGATACAGTTAAGCTAGCAGTTTCAAAACTGCCCTTTTAATGCATTACTGTATGTGCAATAGAGCCACACCTTGGTATGAATAATTTTGCTCTCTCTCACTCAAAAGCAGGATATTCTTATTGTTAAGGAATTGCATTCAGGGAACGTTCCAAGGGGAACGTTTACTCTTCCTGTTCAGGACCCGCTTTAAAGACCTTACTTGAAACTGCTTTATTTCTGCATTTATTTTAACTTTTCCAAAATGATGGCCTACACTTCTCTTAAAAACCTAGTTTTTTAAAAAAAAATGTAAGGACACATCCTTTATATGTGGTATTACTCAATTCTCCTACAGTGTTCTTTGAAACCTGCATCTAGCAGGTTTCTTGTATTATTCTCAAAAAGGATACACGCGATTTTTAGCTATGTAATGCCCTAAAGCTACCTGACAGCACAACAATTTCTTTCCAATTTTCCACTCGGGCAGTAACTGAAAAAACAGATGCCTTTATATGGAAACAGGCTGTTCCTGGCTTTTGATCTTGCCAATATTTAAGCCTACACAATTTTTTAATCAAAAAGGTGGCCTACTGCTGAAGAATATTACATATAAATTAACAGACACATGGGTTAGAAAATCCAAGAGACATTCTAAATCTCAAGCTAATATAAAAGCAAATATTTTGCTAACTATAGTTATAAAATTTCTCACTGTTAAAGAGAAGTTTCACGGAGTGCTGAAGCACCATTTTTACTCCGATTCTGAATTAAGCTCAGGGCTTGATTTTGAAAGAGTTTAATAGTAAAAAGGAATCAGGAGTGGGAATCCATGTTTGAGTGAATGCTTCCTTCTATTGAAATGTAATTCAGTCTTTCTAAAGGAAAAGATGCTCACTGATATGAAACTAGATTTTTGTCTCTTAAAGCATAAGTATTCTTGCTAATTCAGATGTGTAAAGGAAGCATATATTAAAAAAAAAGAAAAAAAGAAGAAAAAGGAAAAAAAGAAGAAGGAGTGACCAGTATCAAGCATGTGAAAATGTTCTATCTTTTTTACTTCTTTATTCTCACTTCTGGCCAAAGCTCCAGACCCTGCTAAATCTTGGTAGATTGAGACAAGGTCTCAGTGAACAGAACTTTGAAAATCTGATCTATACAATCCAAAGCTAGCATTGGTTCTCTACAAGGACAGCAATTTCACAGAAAAATTTAATTCAGTTGAACAAAATGAAAGGGAAATTGTCTGATATTCATTTTCACCAATTCCTAACAGATGCATAATTACTTTCTCCATTTAACAGTAAATCTAATTTAAATCCAAAATGGAGTTACTTGATTAGTAATATACATCTAATGGCTATGATTAGATACAGTAAGACTCCTGATGTTCCCCCAAATTCTTACCAATTGTGAGAAGAATATGCACTGGGTTTTTTTGGTTTTGAGCTTTAGAACAGAGCCCAGGGCTTGACTATTCTATGTTGTAAATTTTTCTACTCTGAATAAGTCGTACCCAAATCAAGTATTTTAGATGTCACAGCAGATAGATGCATACACTTGAATGCAACTAATGCAAATTCTAGTCTTCTGCAGACAGAATGAGGACAAGCAATCTAATATGATACTATCTGATACAACCCAGAAAAGCTGGCAGAGACATACTTGTTCAAGCCCTATACCGGTATGAAATGAAGGAAGCGACAACGTATTAAAGGAACTGCTGCTTCTTACAAACCATCTCCAGGCTAGCCCTGAAAAGTTGGTATTTTTGTGTTTAAAAGCAACACAAGTTAATCCTTGAAAACTATGCTAAAATTTACCTCTCGTATACATTTTTCTCTTTAAAACCAGTAGAAAAAGTGTTTTCCAACATTCATTGTCATTACCTCAGTTTGCTTCAACAGTCTTAAACTCCCATTTTGCTCTCACTGACATTTAAAAGCTATAACAGTTTTGAAAATAAACTCCACAGTTTTTAAATTGTTGAGGTAAGATCAGATTTAAACAAGTGGATTCTGACTCCCTTTCTCAGTATCAGACCAATCCTTCCCACAACACCTGTAGTAGAGCACTTCTCATTTTGCAAACACAGATGTCCACAACACCCTGGATATATAGCAGACAGACATTAAAGCATTTTGATTCCAAAGTAATAAATCAACTAGATTCTGCACTCATCTATTCACCAAAAATCAGAGGCCTTACAATGCTGAGAGCTAAATTCTCAAAAAAACCCACCACTCCCTTCAAGCTCCCAGTCCCTTGGTACCTTGAAAGTGAAAAAAGGAATGCATAAGATCTATATACACAATTAAACATATGCTGTGCGTTTAATCCTTGTAAGTTTAAATAAATTTAGCTAAAATTTTCAAAAGCAATGAAGTTATTAAATAGCTTAAATTTTAGCCAGTTTATTTCAGGAGGGTCACAAATACCAAAAGCTCACTAAGATTTTGCTGATTCAAAGCACTTTGAAGTCCATGGGAACCTGTCCTTCAACTTCAGTAAGCTCTGGATCAGACGAAGTGCTGACTCTTCTGTTTCCAGATGTTATATTGCATTAAGATGCATCTACATAGAGATCAAGCATTTTAAAATTACTTTTCCACTTAGATACACACTGAAGTTGCTATTTGACTGTTTTTACAAGCTGCTTTACAATGCAGTAGGTGTTTTCCAAGCATGTAAAGGCAGTTATTGTTCTGAAAAACTCATTAGCCGAAGATGATAGCTAAACTGGGAGGAAAGGACAGGAACAGAAACCCTGTATAACAGCAGCATGTGAACAACAGCGTGGACGCAGCAGGGCCCTTAAGGCTGTGTTAACAAACTAAAGCCACGGGTGTAAGACATCAAGGAAAGCAGGTAATGCCACTACATACTCCTCAGACAGACAGAGGTGCAAACACACGTGGGGGACAACCTGATTTCATAAAACTGCTACAACCGAATGGGTACGTTTACACAGCAGCGGGCCAATCTGTATAAAGATGGTTAAAAAAAAAATATCTGAAAGGTATACTGTGGCAGAGCTTCAAAGAGATCTGAAGGTTCTGTCAAGAGACTTACATTTTTAGGATCTAAGATGGAAAATCAAGTAAGGTATTATCAACTCAAGAATAAAAACAGTCCACGCAACTAGAAACAAGAATAACAATAATAATGAAATTCTCTCTCATATGGTCCTTGGCATTACAATGATTCTCAAAATTCATGGTGTCATTCACTGTATCATTTAAACCTGAACAGATAATAATTTAGCCTACCACTGGCATTTCAATTGCACTAGTTACAGGCCTGCTAAATATTTTCAAGCACATAATATGTTATGCATCATTCATTTGTTTGGCTGCATTAATAATTTTAGATGCATCTATCTTAAGAGTAAGTACTTCTGAAGGTGATAATCCAAGCTTGTGTCAGAAAGAAAGGTCTGAAGAGCTTAGAATCTTGCAAACAATATTAATTAAAAACAGAAACAGGAAACACCTGTCAAGGACATTGTCCCCTTAATCTAAAAAGAAAAACAGCTTTCCATA